GAGGGAAGGTGGATTGGAGAATGAGATGAAGATAGACGCCCGCCGTGAATGGATGAGACTAGGGCGGTGACGTGGAGTTCGTTAGGCTCCAAATCTGAGCTTTACGTCATTTTCTTATAAATTTTTAATTTAGTTATTTTAATGCGACTTTTTCTACACGACTCCACGTCGGTATTCGGTTTGGTATTCGTCAACTTATCGAACCCGGTTCTTGTGCCCAATTGCCAACATCTTTTGTACAAAGAAGACCAAACCAACTATGGAAAGAAGAAGATCATTTCGAATTCAATGCTCTCTTTCTCTTTCTAGAACAAACTCTATAGATATGCCTTATCTCATCATCAAAGAATTAGTCCCACTTTCATACATTGATTTTTTGTGTGACACACAATTCTTGAAAAAACCATTAGAAACCTTGAATATTTTTATTCGACCCTTCTACTAAAAACAGATTGTTTTGAAATTATAACTTTGAAACATGCAGTATGACACATTTTAACCAGTAACAATTTAAAACATGAGAAAAAACTTTGCAAGAACCCTTTTTTCCCTGGTCAATTTTGATTATTGGAAGTTGGAACGTGCCAATAATCAGGTTTGTTCATGTACACAGTCTCCGAATTTTCGATGAACCTCAATTTTGACTAAGATCTAACATTATTTTATGTTACACAATTCATATATAATCTCATTCGTTATAAATCATTTTACCGTAAGAATCCTTCAATTTTGGCCATACATATTTCAGTGCTTTTCCAAAACCGTACCTTTTTGGTAATTTTGGAAAGCAATTACGTTTTTGGGGAAAAATATCAACTTTAATAATAAAAAGGGAATTAAAAAAGAAATGGGTACAACTATTTTTTGGTGTTTGAAAACCAATTTGGTTAGAACCATTATATATACAGTTTAGTTATTTGTGCTAATGTCATACAAGTTTGAATCCGGTATAGTGCATTGTTGACAAAGAAGAACAATTTTGGATAATTATATGACGTCTTAATCCAGCTTTGAACATTTTCAAGAACAAGAAGCTTATTATCACAAGTCAACATACTTTTTTTTTTGTTGTTGTTGAAGAAGTCAACGGACTCTCAATGAATTAAACAGACCAATCAATGAAATTCTCTATTCAACAACACCCTCCAGAACATAACAAAGAATACAAACTTTCAAATAATAAACCCTAACTTTCAATCAAATGTAAATCCCCACACACAAAAGGGATCTAAAGAATCAAACTATTGTTTTTGTTAATCACTGCGCATAGGCGAATAAGCAGAGTTTCTGCATTTCACTGGGAAGAATCTGAATCTGAACCTGAGAGAGACACCAAACAGATTCATTAAGTCTCACAAAAAAAAAGGGGTTAAAATCAGAATTTAAAAACAAGAACACCAAACCAAAATTTACCCTTTTATGATAGGATCACTAGCCCGAGATACAACGATGCGCAAAGAAACACAAATGAGATCATTCCCCTGAAAATGAAAACCATTGGTCAGAAAACAAAAGATTTTCACAATCACACTCTGTGATCATTTGAGAGTTTAGCGTATGAATTGGATTAAAATCTTTACCAGATGACACCCCAGCCGCAACCAGTACAGCAAGGGCAGATCTCTGCAAACTTCTCAGCATCGCTCGAATGGACTCTCCGTGATATCAGATCATCGTAGATATCTAATATTACATTGCAGCAACACAAAAATGTGACGTTATTATTGTTCATAACTTTAAAGTGAAGTTAATAGGGAAGAAAAGGAAATACATACCGTACACTGAGAATAAGCTATTCATCACACCTGCAATAACAAGTACATATGTAAACCCGTCTTTTATATAGAGAAGATGAAACTCGAAGATGATTATAGGACGGGGTTATTTACCAATGAACAGAATGACATAACGGAGGATTTTGACTGTAGTCAACTCTTGTAGAACCCAGATAACAGCGAGGAAAACTATGAAACCTGAGGATTTTTATCAACTATGTAAAGATTTTGGGTACTCAAAAGAGAAAATGGAATAAGAGGAATCATGAGAATACACACCTATACAAAGACTTCGAAGAGTCCACTGTCGAAATTGAAAATTTGGATCTCATTTGTTTGATGGTAATGACTCAGAGAATAATGAAACTGCTAGATGAAGTAAAACAATGACTTCTACTTACGTTTTTGGCAATGAAGAGGACGATGAATAAAGCAAGACCCAGACCAGCAGCAGCTATTCTTGCTGTTAGCAGATTGGTAGATGCAAGAATCAAAGCCATTCCCCAAAATGATGAGCCAAGATCTATAAACCAATTCAACATAGGTAAACATTTTTGTGCATAGGTAAACAAAAATAGGACATAATTCGGAAGAAATGGTTGATTTGAATAAGGGAGATAGATAGATTTGTGCATTACAGCCAGCGGGTAAGATCAGCCAATAGATGCCACCACGAGTTGTTGTCGAACCCCCTTCATTTGCATTCACCTCCATCCCCTCCACCTTTTAGATTCAATAAGAATATGATTAAGTTCAAACTAAATGAGAAACATTTAATAACCAGAACACCTTATCCACATTATAAGTTACTGTGCAAATTGAAAATGGAGTTGCAGATTCACAGAGAGATGGTGCACACATTTGATGGTATTATGATGTGCAATCTATACATAGCCTTCCCAAAGATAAAAGTTTTGGTGAAAGGTGTAAAACTTGGAGATTCATAGAGAGAAGATTGTAGATACGTTTCATAGAAGCAGTACTTGCAAAGAAAAGCTAGTGGATTTCACATTGTCACTCTAATACTTGCATAAGGTATAATTGACATACGCATCAATCAATCAGAACACATAATATATGATAAGAACTATCAGAACTATGATAAGAGCTGAAGCTGGACACTCGTGTTCTTATAAAATTCACCACACTAAGAGAGACTCATTAACGAAAGACTGTCAACTGAAATCCCAATCATATCATAGAAAATCTACACCCTAAACAATCTGCAGAGGCATCTTTATAAACCCAGTCCTCGCTAATCCTTACCAACCCACAAGAGCAATAATCTGTTACATTCAATCTTAGGCTAGTTATAGAAGAGCTACAGCTAAGCCGTGAGAAACTAACATTCTTCCAGTAGACTTACCGTGTGTCTTGGCTTCTTAGACTAATGACAGAAGCAAGCGAGATTCATATACATATCTAATGAAGTAAGGAAAAAGGGTAGCTCTTGGATTATAACAAATGGCACGACAACTAATGGATATTGCAACCTCTCATCAAGATGGAAACTCTATGATCGTGCTAAACAGTCATGTCCAAAGAGATTTTTGCTAAACCAAGCCTTTCAAGTAGTTCAAAAAACAAAAATGTGCATATTTTAGGAATTGTTATGGTTGAAAACTGGATCACTGGTGAACAAGAGTATCTTCTCTGCCCTTTCAAAGCAAAATTTTGCACATCTAAGAAGAATTCCTGTTTGCAAACTTATATTTTAGGTTCAACCACTGACCATGTTCGAACGTTCAAGGAACCTAAAATCAGTTTTATACCATTTTTAGTTCATTTGAAGTGAGAAGAGCTTCCTTACATCTCCACATGTAAGCTTGCAAGCAACGGCATGACTCGCTTCGTGCAAAAACACCGTGATTAGTTTAAATGGAGTCAGAAGAAACGTCCTCCATAGCTGTAAGAACCCAAGAAATCAGATCTTAAGAACAAGAACTATTATAGAAACATCTGAAATTATAAGTCAATAGTTGCATAAACAGTACAATCGGATACACATTTGACTAGATTTTACAAAACCCATTTCGGATCTTCAATTGAATCGAAGAAAAACAACTAAAGATCCAAACTTTATACATTAGATATAAGAATTTACAGAGGAAAGCTGACCAGAAGGATAACGACGGTGAAGATTCCGATGGTGATCAAGAACGTGGTCTGATTCCGGTTACAGCAACTCCGGAGTTCCCAGTTCGGAGTATTCATCTTTTAGACTTCCGGTGAAACTCCGGCTACAAAAGAATCTTTTCTTTCTTTTTTCCTTTTTCCCGGAATCTGAAGAGTGATTGGGAGAGAAACAGAAAAGAAGGAAAAATGGAAGAATTTGATTGGTTTCGTTGTTTTTCAGTTTTTGACATTTCTTGTAAATTTCTAATCTTTTTCTTCAATGAAAGTTGGAGAAAAAATATTTCTTCTTTTTTTTAGGAGAAATTAAAAAAATTAGGTGACCCATCCATGACCACATTGACCAAATCACGCGTTTAATTTTCCTATTTTTCGAGATAACGCGTATTATTTAGAGAATTTTAGCGAATTATGAAGTACTTTTTTTTTCTTTTTTCAGCTAAACATTTTATTGATCTCAGATCGAGATTACAGAATTACTATACAAAACTTTTGAATAACAAAATATGACATAAACAAATATATATACGCTTTATAATGAGAAAACACAAAAAGAAGTGAATTTAGATGATTTTGTAGACAAGCGTTAACACATAAGTATATGTTTATTTTGAAAAAAAATAGTTTTTTTTTTGAAAATAGTAATGAAATAGTTACTGAAGAATAACACATATACGTTTATTTTTAAAACATGTACCGATGTACGTAAGTGTAGAAAAAGGTTATCTAATTAAAGTGTTAACCATGCATGATTCGTTAAGAGATTAGATTACCTAAGAAAAAACACAAGTATATAGAGCTATTGTAAACACGTAATTTTTCAACCACATTTTATGAATTTGTTTCGCATGGCAATGGCATACAGAAAAGATGTATTGTATTGATAAGCGATTAAGTAAACAAAGATGATGAGAAGATCGAACTGTGAAGTCATCATTAGTTCATTACATGAGAAGCTGCAGAGCACTGGTGTAATAAGTGAGTGCCCAGAGAGTGAAGATGTTCCTATAGTTAGGAAAATGTAGCATCACATTCATCTTGAACACACCTCTCATTTCCTGAAAATTTACATAAAAAACAAAACAAAAAACAAATTTCAGTGTTGTGGCATATTATGAGAGTCAACTTTATTCTTTTCTTTTTAAGTCTTGGAATTATTTATAATCACCTCTTGCGGAAAATCTCCGTTATCCAACTGTGAATTGATCAACACTTTGGCAGCACGATGAACGGGTAAAGGATCTCTCTCCATCTCACCACCCATAATTAGAACCATTAGTCCTTGTCCTGTATTAACCACATTGGTCCTATTTCCATCCAAAGGAGTGTATATCTTGTTGGGGCAAGAGAGATTACTCTCTCCCCAACCGCCTTCAACGTTTTGTGTCTCAAGAATGAACTTAACCGCTCTACGGATAGCCTCAGAGTCATGGTAAGTCTTGCCTGCAGCCACAAGACCTCGAACCGCAAAAAACGTACCGTACATGAAGCACACTCCCCAGTTTCCGTACCACGAACCATCCGCCGTTTGCATGTCCTCTATTTATTTCACTCCCTTTGTTACACATCGTTCGAATTCTTCTGTTCTGTGGCCCGGAAACTGTTTCTTGAACCTAGCCAAACCTACTATCGCCGACCCCGTGCAATCTACATACCTAAGTCAATCGAGTTCCCATAGTTCAAATGAGCAAAACAAATTCAAGATAAGGAAAAAAACGATGGAGAATGCGTTTTCTAGGAATTCCACCGGACTAAGCCACTGCGTTCGAACTTCATGCTTTTTAAGCCCTTCTTTCATATATACATATATAGAAACAAATGGAGGGTCATATTATATATACCTCATGCCAGGATTTCCCACGGGCTGCCTCCCACGCCGTTATGCCTCCATTTTTGCTCTGGTAATATTTTGTACAACCATATATCATTTTATCTCTATATATACTTACTTGATTAAGGATTTTTTTTGGCATTTGCTTCAATGTTTACTATAGGACTCGATTATCATGAAATCGTCGGGGGTAA